AGTTGAAGTCCACTCGTCTTAAAGTTGCTAAGGTTGAGAAACACTGGTTTATAGTATTGATCCACGCGGGGGACCAAATAAGAAAAACAAAGAGGCAGGGCTAGAAAGAGAGTCAGTGTGGTGTCGTGGTTAAAGCAGCAGGCCAGAAACCAGGAGACCATGAGTTCTAATCCCACCTTAGCCACAAAGCCTGCTGGGTGACCTTGGGCCAGTCTCTCTCTCTCAGCCCTAGGAAGGAGGAGGCAAGGGCAAACCATTTCTGAAATCTTGCCAAGAAAACTTGCAGGGACTAGTCCAGGCAGTTGCTCAGAAGGCAGTCAGTGTTGACTGGAAGGCAGAAAAAAAAAACCTCTAGAAATAAAAGGGCAACAGGACAGGATGCCACAGGACAGGAAGAAGAGAGCAGTTGTGGGTAACAACATTTTCAAATTTCTATTTGTGCCCGTGCATTGACAGCATGGCTCCTGGGCTCCAGGCTCACTTGGGATTGGTCCTCTGCCCATGCTCAGAAACTCTCTCACTGCTTCATATTCGAAACATGCCCTTGGACTAAAAAAAAGCCCGGGATATGTGACTACGACATAATTTCCCCATACCGATCCGCTGTTCCATTTCTGTCTTTTCCTGCGTCAACTTCAACCCTCCAAAGCTCTCTCTGCTTTCCACACAAATAAGCTTTTGTACAAGACCCCTTTTCCACCCAGAGCCCTTTTGACCCTCCCAAATTCAATGGCCTGCAAGCTGGCCAGATCATAAGAACTATCTGGGAGGACAGCAGCTGGTTTAAACAACCCCCAAATGGCCCACAGGGTGGTGTTGGGGTGAAGGTGTTGGGCAAGGAGTGGGGGGACCCACGTTCGAATCCACACCCAACCGCGGAAGCTCACTCTGTCTGCCCAATGTTGTTCTCACGGGGATAAAATACAGCAAGGTCTCCCTTTAAGCCACATGGAGCTCTTGAAGCAAAGGCATTTGCTTGGGGGGAGGGATGTCAAAAAAATCAAGACGGGGGTGCAACAGTGTGATCAAAGCCCTGACTCTTTTTTAAAGCGTGCCACGCAGATGTAAAAAAAGGGGCAGGAGGTTCAATTGCACATTCGGGTCAGCCATACCAACATTTTTGACTCCCCCTACAGATGCTCCAGCCTTAGAGAAAAGGCAGGATATAAATCTAACAAATAGTTATTTATTTATTTGCAGGGCTGATATGCCACTCCCATCGAAGCTGTAGGGTAGCTTCCATGCCCTACTTACATCAGTAACGTTAAAAAATACACAGCCTAAAACACGAATAACCACCCAAGGCAAAACACAGGGCCAGAGATTCTGTTCTCATTAATCTCCAAATTACAGGAAGCAGCAGCTCACAACTCCGCCCCCCCCG